TTATTACTGGAGGTTTATGTCTTGGTTGCTATATGGTGATCAAGATGAAGCGTTCTAATAGGCTTCCACGGTCAAATGAAAACATTGTGTTTCCAATTCAGATTCTTAGGGATTCTACAGATGGTTTTGGGGATCACAATATAATTAGGAGAGGCAGTTTTGGATCTATCTATAAAGGTAGACTACCGAATGGAGTAGAGGTTGCAGTGAAGAGGATGCATCAATCAATTGTCAGTGGGAAGGGCATTAAAGAGTTTAGAGATGAGGTTAGCATTCTAACAAAAGTTCACCACTGTAATCTGGTAATTATGCATGGATATTGCCTCGACGGAAATGAGAAGTTGTTAGTTTATGAATTTCTACGAAAAGGCTAGTTGAGTAGACATTTGTTTCACTGGAATGAGGAAGAATTAGATCCCCTTGAGTGGAGTAGACGGCTTGCCATAGCATTGGACGTGGCTAGAGGAGTCAAGTATCTGCATAGAAGTATGATTTCTACCTTTATCTCTCAATTTTTATTTGATCATTAATGTATGTTTTGATTTATGACGGTTCAAATGTCTATCATTGCAGTGACAAAAAAACGTTTCCACGAAGTCTGATGTCTTTAGCTTTGGAGTGATTTTCATGGAATTGATAACCGGCCNGCAAGCTTTGGACAAGAACCGGCATTAAGGTGATGCACACATTTCAGTGTTGTTCAAGAGGATGTTTGTATATAATTTTAATGTTAATCTGTTCTTTTCCAAAAACTGAAAAAAATAATTGGATTCAATAAAAATAACATTGCCATAAATTAACAAAACAAAATTTCTATTTATTTCTCATTATTGGATGTATTAAACACAAATAAAGAGAAATCAAAAGAAGAAAAAAAATCGTAGCTAAAATAATTTAAAAAGTTACGAAAGCAAAACAAAAGCAAAACAAAAAGAAAATAAAAGAAAATTTAAGAGACATGTAGCTTAAAATAAAATAAATTTTCAAATAAATCGTAATTTTAGAAGATTATGTTTTCTTCTTTTTGATAGATTGATAACTCTA